CGTGCAAGTAGTCAACGAGAAGCGAAGCCTTGGCGCGGAACGAGCCACGTGGAGGTTATGAAACGAGAGGAAGATTCTGGAAGGGCGCGTCCAGCAACGTGCAAATGGCCAACGTTAAGGCGAATAGTACAATATAAAGCATAAAAGTACACGTGTATTACAGGGTAATCTGTCGTACCTAGCATCGCGGATTGAGTTCCATAAGCAAAATGACGGATAAGGAGAGAGAATATGTCGATCTCAAGCGAAAACGCGGTCACATTAAAAGCCAAATAACCAAGTTTCATGCATATCTCGAAGCATTCGTTGTAAATAAGGAAGCCCTAGCGCAGCTTCGTATACGGTTAGAGAAAATTGAATAACTGTGGGCTAACTACGATAACATTCAAGAACGGATTGAAGGATTAGACAACACAATAGCGTTTGCAAATAGACAACAGGTAGAGCGATTGGAATTCGAAGAAAGTTATTTCGCGGTAGTAGGAAAGGCGCGTTTGACCATAGAAGAAAGCACAGAAAAACGGGTCAATATCGAAATAGATAACACAAATGTAGGTGTCGCGAGCGAAAATATGGTTGCGGCAGGCACGTCGGTAAGACTACCGGTAATGAGTCTACCCACCTTTGACGGAACCTACGAACAATGGCCAGTGCTTTATAGTACATTCTTCGCGTTAGTAGATAAGAATCAAAATCTGACAAATGTACACAAATTTTACTATTTGCAATCCGCGTTAGGAACAGACGCAAAAAGAATAATTGAGTCCCTAGAAATAAATGAAGCAAACTACCCTAGAGCGGTAGATCTATTGAAAGGTCGTTTTGATAATTCTAGGTTAGCCACGCGGTATCATGCCCGTGCAATATTTAACTTGAAGCAAATCGAAAGGGAGTCGGGTGGTCGACTACATAGTCTGACAGACTGCCTGAAGCAACATTTGGAAGCCTTGAAAGCGCTTAAGTACGAAACAGATACGTGGTGCCCACTAATTATTGAGTGGATTTTAACTCGTCTAGACTCAGTCACAGCTCGTGAATGGGAAGAGAAAACAGTACAAAGGCAGGAATAAAACTAAAGAATTTACCGGGTTCTTAGAAGCTAAATGTAATATGCTGGAGAGCGTAAGCGCATTTGATAGTACGAAAAAGGGGAGCGATAAGAAACAAAATAAGGGTATAGCGCATGTTACAGGTGATTCCAAGTTAAGCTGTCCTGTATGCAAAGGAAATTATAAAATCTATCTGTGCGATACGTTCAAGAGTTTAGCTGTAAAATCGAGAGTAGCTGAAGTATACAAGTTGAAACTATGCCTAAATTGTTTATATTCGAATCACATGGTTAGAGATTGTAAGTCCGGTCTTTGTAGGTATTGTAGTAAGAAACATTATTCGCTGCTACATTATAACACAAATGATAATACAAGTAAAGGCGAAAGTGAGAGGAGCCTCGAGACAAACATAGAGAAGGATAAAACTAGCGAGGCAACTGCGAATTTGGTAGTAACGTGTGCATCGAAAGGTACAAATCCCGAAATCCTGTTATCAACGGCGTGTGTGTGTATTGCTGATCAAAATGGAAGGCTGCATAACGCACGGGCCTTACTAGATAATGCGTCTACATTTAACTTCATAACTTCTGAGTTGCTAAACAAACTAAACTTAAAGACACTGAAAAGGGCCGGGAGGGTAACTGGTTTTCGAGGAAACACCACACTCACAAGCGAAGTAGTAACAGCGAGGATTAATTCGAAAACGTCCAATTATTCGGAGTTCATAAGATTCACAGTGATTGATCAAATTACTAGTAAAATACCAGACAATCGAGTAGAGATATCCAAATTGCGATTACCTGCATCTATTTCTGTCTCCCAATTAGCTGATCCTACCTTCCATATACCACAAATAGACTTGCTGTTGGGGAATGTCTGTGTTTTGGAATATTCTACAAGGGAGAAGAATTCAGCTGAGCGAAGATCAACCAATCTTCCAGAAAACCAATTTGGGTTGGATCATAGAAGGAGAAATGACACCAACAGGTACAACATTTTCTAACGTTTGTTGTACAATAACAAATGAGGGACTAAATAAACAATTGGAGAAATTCTGGGAGATCGAGCGGTGTGAGTTCGATAGGAGTTTAACACCAGAGGAGGTAGCTTGTGAAAAACACTTCGACGCAACTACATGTCGAGATGAAGAAGGGAGATTCGTAGTATTCCTGCCAATAAAAGGAGATATCAAGACCTTAGGTCATTCCGAGTACAACGCCAAGAGAAGATTAAAAGCAATGGAGCGTAAATTCGAGACTCGGTATTACACCATCGGTATTTAGAGTTCATGCAAGAGTACAGAAGTATGGGCCACATGGAATTAGTTCCCGACAGCCAAGGGAATCAAGAGGTCGTGAACAATTTACCACATCATGGGGTAACAAACGAGGAGAGCACTACCACAAAACTTAGGGTAGTGTTTGATGTCTCTTGACAAACATCATCAGGAGAATCTTTAAACAATGTGTTGTTGGTCGGACCCAAGATACAACCCGAGCTGTCGGAAATCTTAATACGATTCCGGCAACACAACTATGTCCTGACCGCAAACATTACAAAAATGTTTCGTCAAATAAAGATTGCTAAAAGGGATAGGGCGCTGCAAAGAGTCCTTTGGAGAGAAAATTCTGAAGATCCAGTCTGCTCGTACGAGTTAACTACAGTAACATATGGAACAGCATCGGCTCCATACCACGCACAAAAGTGTCTCCAGCGGTTAGCAACAGATAATGTAGAGGTCTATCCCGAAGCAGCGGCAGCAATTCTAAACGAATTATATATGGATGACTGGCTTTCCGGAAGTGATTCAAAACAAAAACTACTATGGCTAAAGTGCGAGGTAGGGTAAATATGCATAAAAAGACCCCACCTTCCGATGACCTTGATCTTGACATATGTTGTCAAGGACACCCTCCTGAGTAACTCTTAGAAGTTTTTAGCCGGCGGTCGTTATTCGTTAGAAAGTTATTAACAAAACATTGTCGACCAATTATATGTAATTTTCAGACACAAATATTAAAAATTTTGAAAAATGTTTTAAACAAAAGTTGTAGATTTCTTTGAAATATACATTTTATGTCCTATTCATTTTTACTGTGCGAGTAATAGTTTTCGAGGTAATTATGCATAAAAGCGACTTCCTCTCCGATTTGCTTTATTTTTAAATATGTTGTTGGGGATTTCTTCCCGAGTCATTTCATATATATATAAGGGCCGGACTCAAATAGTTTCGGAGATACAGGCTGAGAAAGGATACAAATAATAAATATATGGTAATTCTTCAGTATAGCTGCTCCACCTCCAAAATCAATCAAATTGGTCTCATTCGACGCGTTTTTTAACAAGGAACAACTTTTTCCTCAGACAAAATCGTCGCTCTGCCCTGCGAA